AATATTCATTTGTCTGGTGATAGATCCTCAGACCCCCCCCCCCGACTCCTTCCCCCGCACCAGGTCCCAGACCAGGACCCCGTTGTGCTGGGTGCCATACAAACACAGAACAAAAAGATTGTAAGCTTTTTAGAGCGGAGACCATCTATGAATTTGCACTCACAAAACAGTCCTTGGATGCCCAGTTGCCCACCTTGTCCATGTAAATACTCATTGACATGTGCAGCATTAGGCGGTCGCTTTTGAAAAGTGGGCCCTGTGTGAGTATGGAATGCAGTTACCAAATGCAATTATTAGTGTTAACGGATTTATTCCTTGTTAGATAGAGAGCCTGAAATCCTGCAAAGAAAAAGCAAAACTAGCAAATGCAGACCAATTTTATCTCCTCCTCCTTGGGATTGCTAGGTAAGGGAAATCTTCACTGATTTCAACCTGTGTGTGTGTGTGTGAGTTCTCTCTCTCACAACATGGATCCTCCCTGGGGACTAAACCCACAACACTAGATGCCTGTGCCTCTCCTGCTTAATCTTAAGTAGCAACTCCTCTATTTGCAGCTGTAATAGACTCCTTTCTTCTGTGCACCAGCCACTGTCAGGCGTCACATAATAAACACTAAATAGTGGATTATGTATGTGCCAGACAGTATTTGACCAGAGGAGCAACCTTCCTGAATTAACTGGGCAGACTGGCAAACGTACAATCATCTTTGTACTATTTATGAGAACACTGTGACATGTAAATTGTAGTGGTATTCTACAAAAAATCCAAAGGTTTGACTATTCTGCATTCACAGAGAGACTGTTTTTAACATTCTGCAAAATGCTGTAGAAATTTATATCTGTCTCGAACTGCATTTATTGCTTTAAAATAACCCTTTTTAAAATGCTTTCTTGGCTATTCTAACATTTGTATACATTACTGTGGATCATTGTGCATCACTGAGAAAGATTCAGGATTTCCATGCAGGCAAATACTGCCTCTCATTTAAGAGGAGAAGTACAAACCCCAGCCAAAGCTATATAACAGGAAGCAGTGTGGTTTAGTGGACTGGGTCTCGGGAAACATGAGTTCTATTCCCATCTCTGCCACTTGCCTTCTGGGTGACCTTGGGCAAGTCATTTCACCTCCGTATGCTTCAGTTTCCCCATTTGTAAAGCACTTTGAGATCGACTGATGGAAAGTGCTAGGTATTATTATTTTATTACCATAATTGCAATGATGTGTTTTTCTTGCGTAGGTTGCAATATGATGTTGCCTACGTGGGTGTTCTGGTGCTATGGGGCGTGTTTATAGGACACTTGTCTAAATGTCTCAGAAGGTTTGATTTATTTGTAATCTAATCCAATGAGGGAAATATCTCACGTGGTGGCATTAAGAGAACAAGATAATACTTGCGCTGGTCTTCAGCAACGTGTTGCTGTCATGCTAGACATGCTTCAGCTTATTTCTTGCATTGACTTTCTCTTTTAGCTACCAGTTGCGAATTGAATGTATGCTGTTATGTGAAGAGACAAGCAGTCTATTGGATTTACTATGGCCCGAAGCACACATGATCAGGAGAGCCTGTGAAAGTAAGAGGGATGCAATTGTATCACTGCTTTGGGCTCAGAGCCAAGTGAAAACTCGCTGTTAGTTGAAATGAAATGACACCTACAACCTAGGCTGGATGAGTCTCTTCATTATCTGAACAGGAAGCTCTGTGGGAGCACTAGCCACAGATTTCCCATTTCTGGAATATTTGATGCAGAACTGCAATTTGTACAGTTCAGCTGTGAGACGGAACACACAGAATGGGGGAATGCTTCTAGCAGATTGTGAGTAAAATATAGATGTGCTGACTAACTCCCTACCAAAGATCTCCACTAGGGAGGGGGAAGGTCCCAAATTCTACATATAGACCACTTGTTTTTTTGTTTTAATCTAGGCTTATTTTTGTGTGTACTTTTTTTTTTTTTTAAACCATTGGGAACATGCACAGCAAAACACCTGATGATGACCCTTTTGGCCTGATCCACTTCAGAAATTGTTCAAGCAGTTCTTCCTACTATTGATCAATTTATACATAGACATATTCTAAACGTAAAGGGAAGATCAACTTTCCACATAACTATACAGTCCAAGCCTACTTGGGCCACTTTTATTCAAGTTATTTATTCCTGTTTCTAATTTGTACTGGACAAACAAATCCTATGCCTGGCATGTTTCCAAAGCCATAAAAATACTGGCCCTGCCTACTCTGAGAAAAGACCTTGGGGCAAGCCCTATTTAAACTTCAGGAAAATCCAATTTCCAGGTCTTCACTGAATTTATTTAAATCATCCATTTTAATTTTTTAGCTCTTCTTACCAGTCACCGGCTGCCCATTTTCTGTCAGTTGATTCTTAAAGTTGGAAATTTTCTGAACTATGTAAGTAAGGCTTTTTAAAATCATTACATTTTTATAGATGGTAAAATATCATTTCAATCCAGTTTCCTGTGTATGTATAAAATAAAAATAACAAAAATTGAATAATGGAGCTTTATTTATTTTAAGCTGAAACAAGGATTTTATTTTATCTATCTTTTTTAGGGGCGTCACACTGGAGATGCTGGTGGTTTTAAAATTAACGCTTTGCTCAAACTAACTGAAACCAAAGCAAACCAAACTCATATTACTCTGCTCCACCATATTTTGGAGGTACCGCTGCAGTTTCTTACTGGGAAGTTAGTCTTGCATGTAACATATTTCCAGACGTACATTCAGCTAATGTTAATGTGCTCTAATTTAAAATGTACCTCATTTACATTTTAAGATCTGCCCCTGTACCTGTTGAAGACAGTGGGAGCTTTGCCATTGATATCAGTGAGGACAGGATCAGATCCATATACAATGCCATCTAAATTATACCGAGGTCCTGTTCTTGACTTAACGTATAAATGGCCATACTGAGTCAGACTATCTAGCCCAGAATGCTGTTGTCTGACAGTGGCCAGTGCCAGATACTTCAGAGGGAATTAACAGAACAGGGGAATTTATCAAGTGACCCAGCCTCTGTTGTCCAATGCCAGCTTCTGGTAGTCAGAGGCTTGGGGACATACCGGAACATAGGGTTGCATCCCTGACCATATTGGCTAATAGCCATTGATGGACCCATCCTCCATGAACTTATCTAGTTCTTTTTTGAACCCACTTATATTTTTGGCCTTCACAACATCCCCTAGCAATGAGTTCTACAGGTTGACTGTACGCTGTGTGATGAGGTACTTCCTTGTTTGTTTTAAACCTGCTGCCTATTAATTTAATTGGGTGACCCATGGTTTTCATGTGAAGGGGTAAATAACACTTTCACTTTCTGCACCCATTCATGATTTTGTAGACCTCTTAAAATATTGCCCCTTAGTCAGGGGCGGATTAGGGTTTTGTGGGGCCCCTAAGCCAGAGCAAGTGGGGACCCCTTCCCACCCCTTCCACTTGCAGTCGCCCCACCTCCCCCCACGCGCTCCTGCTGGGGAGTGGAGGCTTGCAGGAGTGCCAGATGGGCAGATGGAGCAAGCCCCCGTGCCCCGATCCCACTCCCCGGCTGGAGCGCTGGGTGGGTGAAGTTAGGCAAGCCCCCATCCCTCAAACCTGCTCCCTGGCAGCAGTGCCAGTGGATGGCTGGAGTGAGGCAAGCCCCCATGTCTCAATCCTGCTCCCCGGCAGGAGTGCCGGATGGGTGGAGCTGTCAGTTGCGGGTGCACCCATTTTTCTGGGGGGCCCCAATTGGCCGGGGTGCCTGGGCACAGGCCCCATTGGCCCAATGGCTAATCTGCCACTGCCCTTAGTCGTCTCCCTTTTTCTTATCCGAACAGACCCAGGTTTTTAAACTCTCTTCATATGGAAGCTGTTCCATGCCCTTAAACATTTTTGTTGCCCTTCTCTGTACCTTTTCCAATTCCAATATCTCTGTTGTTGTTGTTGAGATGGGGTGACCAAAACGGCCCACAGCATTCAAGGCATGGGTGTGTCATAGATTTATATAGTGGTTTTATGATCTTTTCTTATTTTCTATCCCTTTCCTAATGGTTCCCAACATTGTTAGCTTTTTCGACTGCTGCTGCACATTGAGCGGATGTTTTCAGAGAACCACCACAATGACTCCAAGATCTCTTTCTTGAGTGGTAACAGCTAATTTAGACTCCATCATTCTGTATGTATAGTTGGGATTATGTTTGCCACTATGCATTACTTTGCATTTATCAGCTTTGAATTTCATCTGCCATTTGATTGCCTAGTCACACAGTTTTGTAAGATCCCTTGATAACTCTCCATAGTCAGCTTTGGACTTAACTATCTTGAGTAATTTTGTTTCATGTGGAAATTTTGCCACTTTTTTACCCCTTTTCCCAGATCATTTATGAGCATGTTGAACAGCTTTGCTTCCAGTACAGATCCCTGGGGTGGGGGGACCCTGCTAATAACTTTCTGAAAACTGATGATTTATTCCTACCCTTTGTTTCCTATCTTTTAACCAGTTACTGACACATGAGAGGACCTTCCCTCTTATCCCATTAGTGCTTAATTTGCTTGAGACCCTTTGGTGTGAGACCTTGTCAAGGCTTTCTGAAAGTCTAAGTACACTATATCCACTGGATCACCCTTGACCACATGCTTGTTCACCCAGCCAAAGACTTTTAATTTTCTTGGAGGCATGATTTCCATTAATAAAAGCTTTTTTAATGTAATATCTCCTAGCTGCTCCTTTTGTCTCCTCCTATCTTTGCACCTTCATTCATGCTATTCCCATGCTGTGCCAATCTGCCAAATTAAATGAATTTTCTGTCCTCTATTAGTGAGAGACAAGAGGTCAGGTTCTTGCATCGCACGGGCCGGCTGGTGTACGTTGGCCACAAACCCTGGCGAGCACCACCCCAGTAAAAGGTGATTCTGCAAGTGGCGTAGAGCTGGAACAGAGGCTTGTATGGCCCGCATTCTCTCTGGTGCTGGCAAGGCAGGAAAAGGGGGTGTGGTTAGAAGAAAGGTGTCTTCAGGATGTTTCCTTTGCCATGCCATTCCTGGGTTGTATTTTTTTGTCCCCTTGTAGGTATAATAGGCCAGCGCAAATCAGCACAGTCATCAGGTTGCTTTGTCGACACAGTGTAAATGGAGAGCATCTATAGGAACACACTGGGGTCAGAGCAGTTCAAAGGAAACTTTACTCACACACCTCTGATTTGACTTCTGTGCATTTTGGCCCTGCCCAAGAATCTGTTTCAAGAAGAGTTTCTTGTTAGGTATGTGGAGGGTCTAGCATGTAGCACTTACTATAAGATGCAGCATTTACCCTATATATACCAATTATCAGATTTCAACATAGTAGAGTCAGATAAACTGATACTCCCCACGTGTACAATGTGTATGAGACTATTTAAGTCAATGGAGTAATAACAGGGCTAAACTTACCACGATACCTGTAAACCGTACTTTCTTAGTTCTCACTTTTTAAAATTAAGCGTCTCGGTGCCCACATGAGTAAGGAAATGCACTATACAAAATAAACAAATTTCACTTACATTTTAGGAAATGGAAAAAAACCACGCAGATCTACTACAGCTTCCCAGTGACCTTGAATGTGTTTCAAAGGCAGCAGGGTATGACCTTTTTTTTTTCTTTTTTCTTTTTTTAAATCTTTAAGGGTGGGATCTACAAAAGTACTTAGGCACATAAACCCCAGACTTAAGTGCCTAAAATAGGCACTTAAGTCCCAGTTTTGGCTCTACTGAAATCCATAAAACTCCTGTTGAAGCCTGTAAGCACCTAAACTTGCTCTGAGTCTGTTTCCAAGTCAGAGGTCCTGAGGTCCCTATAGTTCTGCCTCTGAGCATGTGCATTGCTGCAGACTGCCTAATTGCTCAGAGTGATTTCACAAACCAGTGGAAGCTAGGCATTCAGCTGCATAAGGCCTGATCTGACCAGTATGCATATGCAAGGCCTGATCTGACCAGTGTGCATGCTCAGAGGCATCCTGCTGGATCAGGTCCGATTCAAAATCTGGCTGGATGAGGAGCCGCTGCCATCTGCCTTATAACTTCGTAGCACAGTGGTTGGAGCACTTGCCTGGGATATGGGAAAGCCAGGTTCCATTTCCCCCTTCTCAGGCAGAGATGGAGAAAGGATGTGAACAGGGGGTTCCCACCTCTCAAGAGCAGTGCTCTAACCACTGAGCTATGGGATATTCTGGGGTGGGACTCCCTCAGTTTCTCCTGCTAAAGCTATTCCACTATGGATAAATAATGAAAGAAAGACAGGACCCAGGATCTCCCACCTTTTAGGGGGGTGACCATAATCACTGGACTACAGAGTAATTTTGTTTCTCTCTTTTGCCTAATGACTAAGTATTTATCCACAGAGGAACACAGTCATTGAGGGAACACCACATCAGAATTAACATTATAACTAGTGCTGATTTATGCTATATGCATTCACAAAATCTCTGTGGTATTCTAGGAGTCTGTTTTCCTTGCAGCTAGTCACTGAGAGAAACTGTAAATCTGAAGATGGACTCTCATGGTCAAGCAGTTGCTAAATTAAATGCAAAGAGCGTATTTTTAAGAAAATAGGTAGCATTTTGGCTTTAACTTAAATTCTGAAGAAGTAGCTTGCTAATGCTGTTGGAAAGTAAAAGTATAAATATTCCATTACCTAAAGTTCAAATATGAGTATTAGTATAAACATGCTCATCATATATTTCTGAATGTAATGGTACTGGGGTTACGCCACTCCCTGAGAATTTTCAAAAATTTTCAAACCAAAAACCCTGTTGATTTAAATAGATATCCAGGTTTTTATTTGTAAATATGAAAGGGGGGGAGGGGTGGCTTTAATGCCGCTTTAGCGGTTTACATTTGGATGTACAGTATAATTCTGCCTCACATTATGAGGATACAATGCTTTGCCTACCATGAAGGGATAATCAGAAACTGGAAAGTATGTTTGGGCCCCTATGCTGCTGCCACATATGCTTTTGAGGTTCCCCATGAGCACAGAAGTCCACCCACTGGGATGCTATTGCAGGACTGGGATTTTACATCCTTCCTCTGTTAACAAACCAGGCTAGTCATTATATTGTTTGCAATCCTCTTGGTTTACTACCTTCCTGTGGAATTTTCAGAACCAACTTTGAAGTTATGAAGGCAGAGGCAGATGCCCATCTAAAGAAACTTTTGAAAATTGAGCATAACATGTCATCAATAGATGATTTAAAAGCACAGTATGGAAAGTCTATTCAAGTAAGTAACATGAGTCTGATCCATCTCATGCTTCCCTCTTCCAAGATGTCCTATATCTCTAGGAGGTCACAAACAGGTCAGAAAAAGGGGTGTGCCTTAATTCCTAGATGGGAGGAGGGTCCTGAACCCTTTTTCAGAGTTCATGTGCAGTCGCAGTATGGAAATGGTTGAGAACCACTGGTCCATTTAATCCCCCCCCCCCAAAAGCTAAAATTAAGATTAGGATTCTATAGTACACAGATGTACCACTGCGGCATGACATCTTCTAGAATGCCAAGGAGTTATTTGTGTTTTTTGCTTGAAAAACTGTTCACATTCCTGAAGAATAGCAAGGTTCTTTTGTATCCATTTATAAGCATTGATTATCACGGGTCCAGTCTTACTCTGCTTAACTTAACATAACAGGATCAGGCCCTTCCTATGTTTAGAAAGTAGGTGCATCTTAAACAAAACTAAACCTTTGTGTATGTATTGCATATCTCCAAAGTAAATAATTCACTATCACACCATCCTTCAGAGTCTGTCATATTATGAAGAGATACTCTTAAAGCAGGGTAATATTAATTAAGGGCAAGGAGGCAGTCATGTTCCTCACAAATCTTCTGCTTAGCCATGTAATGCTGGCCAAGAATGCCAAGTGATCATGTTGTGACAGTGACAATACATGTGTTGCAGGTAGGTAGGGTTCCCCAATAGTAACATACTTTTGGGGAAAACAACAATTACAAGTAAAGTAGCATACTGTAACCAGTTTTAACTTTCCATTAATTGCTGTGTTTCCAAAGCAAGCAGTACTTAGAGTTCTGTCTGATTTTCTAAAAGCTATTGCACTGATTTGTTAACTACTTTGCCCCTCCTCTTGAGACTTCAGGGTAATTGAGATGCATGTTGCTTTTAACTTGAATAAATTGCATTGTAAATATGTCTCAGGACCATATAAACCTTTCAAAAGAACTGGAGGAGGAACTTGGCACCATTGCAAAGAAGAAGGCAGAACTTGCGGATTACCTCTGTGAAGATCGAAATAAATTGTCATTAGAAGATGTGTTTAACACAATGAAAACCTTCAGGAATTTATTTATCAAGGCACTAAAGGTGGTTTACACTTGTGAATAATTAGGGCTAGATTGTGATTTGAACTTTTCACACTTCCATGCATGGGTGATTTCCCCTTCTCTTCTAAGCCCCTTTACACAGATATATGGGCTACCCAGACCTTGGATCTGAGTACCTAGGAGTCAGTGGGGCTGTTCACCTGCTTGTGTCCCTCCCCCTCCCCAGCAGGTGTCCAGAGAATGGGTGAACAAACTAATACAAAAATCCATTATTTGTATCAAAGAATTAAGGACGCTCCAATCTCTTGGGCTCTACTTAAAATGACTGGCTGGCCTCAGTGAAGTAAAAGCTAGTGATGTGTAAAAGTGAGTAAGCAAAACTGATACATTTTTAGAAGGGAGTGAAGATCTTACTGAATAGCAAGCCTCAAAACATGATAGGCAAGGCCTACCAGGTATTTACTCTGAAGAGCCTTCATTCTACCACTCATCCCACAGCCCAGAATCTGAGTGACTGAGTCACAGCAGTGGGTATCAAGTGAAGAAGCATGTTTGGAATAGCTTTTGCTTATAACTGCAAATATCTCCATCAGCTCTTCTCTAGTTAACTTTTCTCTTAAATGTTTTATTTAACATTCTATCTGAATGTTTGTATGTAGGAAAACCAAGAAAGGAAAGAACAAGCTACAAAAGCAGAGAAAAGAAAGAAATTGCTTGAAGAGGAGGAAGCTAAGCGTCAAAAAGGAGAATATGGAAAGATCAGTAAGTCTCACAAATGTATTTTGGAATTATTTGCTACTTTTTAAAGAGAATGTATGTCTATATAGATGTGGATGATCTGATTTGTGACTGAAAAAGCATTGGTTAATTTTCTAAGTCCTTGGCATACTTATTCCATCAGATATGAGAGAAATTAAAAAAAAATACTAATTTTGAAGCCCTTTTTTCGCACAAGGACGATAAAAATGTACACACCTCTTTTCTTACACCCCTCACAATGGGGCACGAGCTGAAAATAATAGCTCACAGTAAACAATGCATTAGCAGAAATAGAGGCTAATTTAAGTTTGGAGGCTTCTGATTTCTTTGTGTTTCTTTTAATGCTCGTTTGCATCTTTTTAGGATATGACTCCATTAAGGAATATTTGAAACTAAGCTGTGTTGGGCAAAGCACATGTTACTCTTCCCCTTCTCCTCCCCTTTTCTGTCCTGATTAGGGCTTTGATTCAGTAAATGCTTAAAATTAAGCACATGCTTTGCTGAATAGGAACTGGATGAGTTGTATTCTTAAAGTTAAGCATGCACCTAAAGGGATATGCATTTTTAGTGTAAATGTGTGCATGTGTAAATTTAAAATTCCATTTATATTTTAAGTTCACATTACATGAAGGTTTGTGCCAGTAAAATCTGATCACTTGATTGTTCAGAGATTGAATGTAAAAGGAGCATTAGCACAGCTGAACAGGATTCATGTAATTGACTGGATGGTCACACACAAATATTTTGCATTTTTCAACAAGCTCAAAGTAAGAATCTGTGGCCAAAAAAGCTCAAATCTTCTTTAGCCCTATTTGTTTTAACATCTATTCCAGTTATTGATCTTTAGAAATTTCTAAAGAAAAATCTGAATGTTGATAACCAACCACAAGAGGGCCAAGATTGTCATTGGACAGACTGTATTTCCAATGTGTTGTCATTAGCACATAACAGTACATTTAATGTAAACTTATATTTAATGTAGTCTTACTAATTAGAATCTACATTTTAGTGTAAATACAAAAAGTAATTTAATATATTGGAAAGTTACTTAAATATAAAATTAAGAGTGAAATTTACCCCCCATACAGAGAAACAGCACAAGGCCCTTCACCATTTAAGCTTTCCAAATTGGGTTTAAGAAGGACTCAAGCGGTGTTGACCCACTGCATCAGGGTGAATCCCATCCTATATGGGTATAACTCAAATGTGAGTTGGGAATCTGGACTGAAGTTTCTTCCTCAATATTTATTGCAGAAAACTGTGCGCCTAGCTACTTCAGCACTTGTGGCCATTCTTAGCTGCAATTTCTATTCACATTGAGTTTTATTAAAGTAAGCTTGGGGACTATCAGCTCTGATAAAGTTAGAACCTGGGTGTTTGTCTTATTTAAGCTCCCCTGAAAATTCCCATCCTATGTATACAACTCAGACATTTTAGAATCATGGTAATGGTGTTTTAGGTTTTTTGTTCATTTGTTTGTTTTTAAGTAGATGAACTAGATTTCCGTTTTTAAGGAGGAAAAACTGGATGGCAATAGATTAAGTGAAGTCCTATTAGCATGTATGGACCAGATTCTTAGGCCTTGATCCAGCAGAGAGTTAAGCACATGCTTAATTTTGCTCAGTGAGTAGTTCTACTGGAGTAATTGAGACTATTCATATTGTATAACGTTAATTAAGTGCATAAATCTTTGCAGGACTGGAACCTTAATCTTTGATTTACTGACATGAATGACTGTCACAAGTTCCTTCAAGCCAATATCTGGTTTCTGTATCTGTGCATATAATTGAGGATCACATATCTGCAGATGACCGACAGGCCCTTAGCTGTAGCTGTCTCTCAGGATTTCAGAGCACACGGCATCAAAGTATTTTGATATGTATTATAATCTCTTCTTTATAGTTCAAAAAGGAGATGTGAGACCAGAAGCATGTGTCCCTGATGCCTTATTAGCAGATATAAGGGAAGGCTTTCAGCTATGGAAAACTACTAGGAACAAGTCTAAGCCAGAAATTGTTCCCAAAACCTCACCTACTGAAACTGGTAAGAGCACAGATCCAACTGCACCTGCAATGTGGCTACAACTATTAAACTCTAGTCTTCCATTAAACAATGCTAAAAAGATATAGGTTAGGATTTTCAAAGAAGCCCAAGGGAGTTAGGAAGCTAGGTTCCACTGAATTTCAAAGGAATTTAGGTACCTAGCTCCTTTAGGCTACTATTGAAATCTCAGACATAAGAGATTTTTAACTGCATTATTTTTGATGCTTTATAATGGACAAGAGATTATTTCTCTACTGCTTCATTTTTCTTTAGCTTCTGTTACTTCAGCTTCCATTACCTGAAGTTATCAGACAGTTACATTGTTGAAGTGCATCACACCAGCTTGCTTCAAGAAACTAGTCTATATATTATGTGTATGAGATGCTGAAATATTTGTTTTGCTTTAGTTAATCAAGTGAGAAATATGAGCTTATTTTAATGCAAACATGCATATATACACTTTCATATTAGTTAGAATTTTATATGAACTAATTTAATTACATGTCTTGTGTCATGGTTCCTTCCTCACTCTGAACTCTAGGGTACAGATGTGGGGACCTGCATGAAAGACCCTCTAAGCTTATTCTTACCAGCTTAGGTTAAAAGCTGCCACCACCAAAGTGTTACACAAAGAACAGGGAAAGTGCCCACTTGGAAACTTCTTTCCCCCCAAAAAATATCTCCCCAAGCACTACACCCCCTTTCCTGGGGAAGGCTTGATAAAAATCCTCACCAATTTGCATAGGTGAACACAGATCCAAACCCTTGGATCTTAAGAACAATGAAAAAGCAATCAGGTTCTTAAAAGAAGAATTTTACTTAAAGAAAAAGTAAAAACATCACCTCTGTAAAATCAGGATGGTAAATACCTTATAGGGTAATCCGATTCAAAACATAGAGAATCCCTCTAGGCAGAACCTTAAGTTACAAAAACAGGAATATACATTCCATTCCGCACAACTTATTTTATCAGCCATTTAAACAAAACAGAATCTAACGCATATCTAACTAGATTGCTTACTGACTTTTTACAGGAGTTCTGACCTGCATTCCTGCTCTGGTCCCGGCAAAAGCATCACACAGACAGACAAGACCTTTGTTTCTCCTCTTCCCCCCCCCCCCCTTTGAAAATATCTTGTCTCCTCATTGGTCATTTTGGTCAGGTGCCAGCAAGGTTATCTTAGCTTCTTAACCCTTTACAGGTGAAAGGATTTTTCCTCTGGCCAGGAGGGATTTAAAGGTGTTTACCCTTCCCTTTATATTTATGACATCTTTTCAATACTGGCAATACTAGATGTCTTTCATATTGGACTGTCCAATGACAAGTGTAAGCAACAAAGATATACACACACAAAAGAGGAGTAGGGGTTGGTTTAAACATCTGGTGTTAACTTATATTCATCTTATTTTTATACAAAAACTCGTGGCAGAAAGTAAAATTCTGTTAAATTGATGAAAAGCAATACGGAGTTCAATGTATGGTACAGAAGTTCCACTGAATTAAAAGGGCCTGTCCTGCCGTCTTTGTGCTCTCAAACCAGCCACTGACTTCTAGAGCTGCAGAAGCAGACCCCAAAACCAGTTTCTTAAGCAGTGTTCATTTTTAGTGAGAGCCAAATTCTGCAATCCTTTCTCAGGTAAAATTCCAATTGTCTTCAGCAAGAAAAGACTTCAGCGTTTGGTCCTTAAATAATAAACTCGGAGATGTCAAAAAGGTCAGCATCAATTGGAGAAGTGTGACTAATTGTTCACCCTTATCTACTACTTACAATGGTGGAAGATTCCAAGCTGCAAGTGAAACCAGTTGAAGGGGAATGTAGTTTTGTTGCTTGCTTCTTCTTTCCTCTTTGATCATTGATTTGCAGTGATAAACTGTAATAGTGGTGAAAAAGAACAAAGAATAGTCTGCAGGAAACAAGACACAGAAACTGAGTGTCTGATAAGTAGTACTTTGAAATATAATGTAAAATCTTGACTGTTTATTAATGGAGCATCATTTAAAAATAGATATACATTGTATTTGTACTTGATGCATATTTTGTTCTTGTCTTTGTTCATCTCAGTACAATGCTAAACAAAGTTGCCTGTTGTGTATGTTTTGTTTTCTATGAAGAAAAAATGGTCATTCTTTTACTAAACTGAGCCCTCCTGGTCTCTCTAAGCATACCCTTTAGCTCTCAAGCCTCTAGAGGTCACCTGTCTCTCAGGGTGGAATCACATGATTCTCTCACTCTCAGACCTAGCTCTGGGTTGCAGTCCCCTGGTACTAACTGTGATTATCTCAGCAGGTCTGACCTAGACACAGACCCTGCAGTCCTGTATCTTCCAGGGCAACGACAGTGATAATCAGTGACCAAACAGCCTTCTGAAAGCAAAGTATCATTTATTTACAACAAAAGAATTTCAGAGAAAACATACGTTGAAAACAATGAACCACCCTATATATACCACACATATATTATATATATAATATATGTCTGCTTATGAAAAATCTAACCATCTCATGCATGGGGACCCTGGAAGGACTAATTCTGTAGACTCTTCTACAGAGCCCCCTCTCTGTCAGCACCTTAGAGCCTAACCAATTTATTTGAGCATAAGCTTTCGTGAGCTACAGCTCACTTCATGCATCCAATGAAGTGAGCTGTAGCTCACGAAAGCTTATGCTCAAATAAATTGGTTAGTCTCTAAGGTGCCACAAGTACTCCTTTCCTTTTTGAGAATACAGACTAACACGGCTGTTACTCTGAAACCTCTCTGTCAGCGTGTGTCCCTGTCAGAGTTCACTGGCAACACCCTGCACAGCCCTTGGCAACTCACCACCTCTCCTTTTCCTCAGAAGGCTTTTTAAGTGTTCTTTTGAGCTCTAGCCTCCAAGCCTGATACAACAGCTGTGTCACTTCTGCCTGGAGTCTGGAAATCTGCCATTGTTTGCAGGGCCGGCTCCAGCTTTTTTTCTGCCCCAAGCGGCAAAGAAGAGAAAAAAACAAACCCTGATTGCGTTGCTGCTGAAGAGGAAGGGAGGGAATGAAGGACCTGCTGCTGAAGACCCGGACATACCGCCCCTTTCTATTGGCCGCCCCAGGCACCTGCTTCCTTTGCTGGTGCCTTGAGCCGGCCCTGAGTGATTGGTAACTGCCCCCCAATGTTTGCTGGGAGGTTGCTTATCTGAAACCATTGTGTTGCCTTCCTGTTTATTCTTCCCACAGTCCCCTATTAAGCATTCAGACAGGAAAGTCTAGCAACCCCAATATACAATACCGTCCCTTCACTGACCCGTTACATATCATGTTCATCAAATGGTTACGTCTCAGTACATCATTACATATCAGCTCCATGTCTATTACACTCCCTCTCTTCTTTTCTTGAATGCTTTGACAGGTAGGGAATTAATTTAAATCTCAATTTCTTTAACTATTATCATTAGGCAGAAGACTTTGAGGAAAAACCTCAGTGTAGACAAGAGTGTGTGAGTGTGTATGAGCCTAAATAGTTCTAAATATACTAGGAATCTTGTAATTTCTATAGAAAGTGTAAAGATTGTGTGCTCCATCCCTCAGCTCTTACAAATTCATATCGGTCCATGTGACCAAGAAAGTTCAGTATTCAACACAGTGAGATATTCCCCCTCTGGTGTTATCCGGACCGGTGATCTGCTAGTTCACTCCAATCCTTGACTCTGGAAGCCAGCCTTACCTTGCTCTGCTGTGAGAACCCCCACTCCTGGGCTGTTCACGCACAGCCTCTAGCACGTAAACTGCTCCTTGGATTGTGCTACCGAATGACACTAGCCAATATCTCTGGTCCCAGACACAACTCTAGGAACCTCTGTCTTGCAGTGTCCGGTTATGCCTGCTGGATGCTGCAAGCTTATATGAGTTTGTCAATTTAACAAAGAAATTGATATGTAGAATCATAGAATAGCAGGGTTGGAAGGGACCTCAGGAGGTCATCTAGTCCAACCCCCTGCTGAAAGCAGGGCCAATCCCCAATTTTTGCCCCAGATACCTAAATGGCCTCCTCAAGGATTGAACTGACAACTCACAAACTCGGGTTTAGTCAATGCTCAAACCACTGAGCTATCCCTCCCCCCCAGGTTTGTTATCCCAAGGGGAGTCTCTGACATGCTTCAAACCAAACGCACTGCTTCAGGTAGAATAAACAAAGATTGTTTAACTATAAAGATAGATTTTAAGTTATTATAAGTCAAAACATGTCAGATTTGGTCAAATGAAATAAAAGCAAATGGCATTCTAAGCTGATTTTAACTCTTTCAATGTCCTTACAAACTTAGATGCTTCTCACCACAGGCTGGCTGGTTGTTCTTCAGCCAGGCTCTCCCCTTTGATCAGCACTTCAGTCGCTTGGTATGGTGTCTGTAGATGTAGGTGGAAAAGAGAGCGCAAGCATGGCAAACATCTCTCCCTTTTATCATGTCCTTTCTTCCCTCTTTGCTTTGCCCCCTGCTTCAGAGTCAGGTGAGCATTACCTCATCACAGTCCCATACTGACCAAAGGATGGGGGATGACTCACTCGAACAGATCCTTTTGCTGCTGCCAGTGTCCTTTGTTCCTGTGAGGCTAGGCTGGGTTTGTTTCATACCTGCCCTTAATGAGGTATGAACTGCCTCTCTGCTCTTGGAGAGTTTTTTCCTGGGCTTATTTTAAGCCATGAGGATACATTTTCAGCTTCATAACTATATACATGAAATTATAACCTATAACATTACTGTAACAATTATGATAACATCACTATAACAACAATGCTCAGTGCATCGTGAGCCTTCCGAAGACACCAAACATGATAAACTTTGCATTGGATACCACACAATCATTTTATAAAGATGACCATGGGGTGCTGGGTGTTCCCCCAAGGTACAAAGCATCACACACATCCACACAATGATGGAGAACCATGTGCATGAGGCTGGAACACGTTCTGTGATCTTCCATCCACCTTTCCCTCAGTGACACAGCCCCAGCCAAAAGCCGTTGTGTCCATTCCCTCCCCACCGACACACACGTATACTGACACAGTTCCTTAGGTCTCAGGTATTAATGTGCATGTGTGACACCTCCAGTGACACAGCCCCGTCCAGGGGTGCTGGAACAATTTGTATAGCAGTGGTGTTGAGCGCCATTGAACCAAACTGTAAACCTTGTATATCATGGAAACCACTTCAAACCAGGTGGGTGCAACAAACCCCCCACAACTCTAGTTCCAGCACCTATGGCGCCATCTACCACAGGCTGGAGTGTCTGTCTGTCCCCAGTCAGGGTCATCACTTGCTATGGGGAAAAGGTGGCAGTTGCCCTTCTGACATTTATTCCCCCCCCCCCCCCCACAACTTTTAATAGGTCCACATGCTCCACTTTTTGCTCCACAACCACTCCAGCCTTTTCAGGATATAATATAATCACGTATAACCTTATATATGCTGACACACCCTTGCTCCCTCCTCATACAGACAGAATTTGCCTGAAATAATGCCCCTGTCCCCAGTGACACAGCCCCATGTGCCTCAGGCTGGAGTGTGTGTGTGTGTGTGTGTCTAGTGACACAACTCCAGTGCCTCAGGCTGGAGTGTATGTCCGTCCAGTGACACAACCCCGGTGCCTCAGACTGGAGTGTGTGTTTCCAGTGACACAATCCCTGGTGCCTCAGGCTGGAGTGTGTGTGTGTGTGTGTCTAGTGACACAACTCCAGTGCCTCAGGCTGGAGTGTATGTCCGTCCAGTGACACAACCCCGGTGCCTCAGGCTAGAGTGTGTGTTTCCAGTGACACAATCCCTGGTGCCTCAGGCTGGAGTGTGTGTGTGCGTGTGTCCAGTGACACAACCCCTGGTGCCTGTGACTGGAGTGTGTGTTTGTGTCCATCCAATGACGCAACCCCTGGTGCCTCAGGCTGGAGAGGGAGTACGTGTGTGTCAGTGTAGTGTATCCAGTCACAGTCCCCCCCGAGTGTGTGTCGGCTCCGGCTGGGGCCGGCCTCTGAGTCCGCGTGCCCCCCACTGCCCGCCCCCGCCCGTCCCGCGCTCCGGGCTGGCCGGGCCCTGGGCAGGCGGCTCGCGCGTCAGCGCGCGGGGCGGGCTCGGGGCCCGGCTAAAGGGGCGGCGGACGCGGCGAGGTAGGGCGCACACAGCCGGGCTCCGGGCCGGGCGGCGCTGAGCGAGCCAGGCAGGCCCCATGGCCACCAGCCGGGCGTCCAACGGCCGCGCCGCGCACCCCAGCGCGGGGCTCAAGCGGGCGCGCGGCGAGCCGGGAGGCAGCAGAGTGACCGTGGTGCTGGGGGCGCAGTGGGGGGACGAAGGCAAAGGGAAGGTGGTTGACCTGCTGGCCACCGAGGCGGATATCGTCTGCAGGTGCCAGGTGGGTGCAGGGGGGCGGCGGCGGGGGCCGTAGGGGCTCGCAGGGGGGCAGGCTCCGCGGCTCTCATGTGCGCTGTGGCGTCTTGCTTGGCTCCTGGCGTGTTTACCCTGGTGCCTTTATTAATTATTATTATTCTCTTCGCTCCGATTTGCCGTTTCTCTTCGTCTCGCTTTTCTCGGGCCCTTGTTCTGTCTTTCAACCCCTCTGGCATCTTCTCTCCTCCACTTTCCCCGGATCCCTTTTCTCTTTCTCCCTTTTGTCTCTCTTTCGGGTTCCCCCTTTTCTCTTTCTAGCTCCAGTTTCTTTAATCTAATCTATCTATCTGATCTCTGGTATCTTTCTCTTTATTTGTCTATTTCTGATCTCCCTTTATCTCTGATATTTCTCTTTGTCTATCTCTGATCTCCGCCTTTCTCTTTCTCCGCCATCTCTGATAGGTCTATCTATCTGTGATATCTTTCTCTTTATCTCTCTGTTTCTGCCATCTCTCTCTGTCTCCCTTTGCCATCTCTGCAATCTCGTTCTGCCATCTCTCTCTCTCTCTCTCCTCTTTTCTTTTCTGGACATTCGCATTGTTTCTCTCTCCTCCTGTCCCCCACTCTCTCGTCCCCTGTTGTCCTTTCTCTCCCTTGTCTCTGTGCTCGAGGAGGAGGTGTGATTCTTCCCCAGGACCGGGCTGGGAACCTTCC